ATGTGTTTGGTCGTGGGGCAGTGTTTCCAGCGTTACGCTTGTTTCTCATTTCCAAATTATTTTAATAACACTCCTATGTGACCTTCTGTTTCCTCCAAACCACTCCAACCCACCCTTCAGGTAGCAGATACTTCATGCTCAGATGAAGGGTGGACAAGACTGGCCTTAATAAGTTAAGGATGGGACACCCCATAATGGCGTTGTACGGGGACAAGGCATCTACAACAAGATATTTTACTTTGATTTTTTTCTCGCCTACATCTGAGCCAAACATTATATTGACTATTATGTGACCTGTCACGTGTACCTGTCGATGTAATCTTTGTTGAAGAAGGTGACTTTGGACCATGGTTCTTTCTTTAGAGTTTCCTTGGTGTTGGCGGGTATGACGCTTTCCGTCAAAACCTGTTTAGCATATTTTCTATGAAAAGAACTAGATTCTCCTCCGTCAGGAAATCCTCTGAAAATGGTGTTAAAAGTAATATTGGAACCTCATTTTTGAATCCTCTTGGGGAAGGTGACAAAAATGATTGGTGATTGATGATGGTTGTGGCCTAGGCTAGTTTTACTAGGGCTCAAGGTAGGCTCCAATTATACTTGTTAAAATTAAAATATGTGATAACCCCTTGCGTTGTAGGGTTGTCAAAGGTTTTGGGGTTGTTTTGGTGTTAGAGCAAGCTCACACAGAAAGGTGAGAAACTTTGTAAACTAATGTTTATGGGTCAAATTAAATGTCTTCTCAACCTTAGGGTTGAGGTATTTATAGGATTCATTTTGTGTCTAGATCCTAAGCTTCAAGTAACAACAATCTTAATTCTTATGAGTGTGGAGAATGAGTGGTTATTCCCTTATTCTTTTATGGAATGTCTCCCTCGTCTTTAACTACCTCTCAAGTCGTTATTGAGTATGTACATGTCGCTTCCCACGTTCTCGCAAGTAGGCGGGTAACCCAATTGAAGAGAGACTGTTTCAAATGACAGACACTCGTTACGATACATGGGTGAACATTGGAAGCAAAAGGCAACTAGATAACTGCTTCGAGTGATGAGTGTTATCTACTTTCTCTTTGGTGAACATTGTCAGGGACGAATCTACACATATAGTTGTGGGGGCAACTGCCCTCGCTAAGATGTTTATGTTACTATAAATTATTTAATAAAGTTGCCCCCACTAAGAGCATCTTTAGTGCAGGTTCGGTAGTATTAAATTTTTTAATAGTAACGGTAGTTATAAACAATTTGTATTGGAATAAGAATGACATGACAGTAAGTGAACTAACAATTAGTTTTCGGCAACTATATCACCAACGCACACTATCAAATTTCAATGACTCTGATTATTATGCATTTTAATTAAAATAATTAAATTAATGATAACTTGAATAAAAAATATAAATTATGGGATCAAGTTTTGGTTTTTTTATAAGCAACCATCATTAAAGTAAAAACAACTCAAAACAGCTATAAATATTTTAAATCCTACAAATCACTTTGGACCCACAAAAAGTATCTTAGTTTACCCATTTAGATTACTCTCACTAAAGATGCTCTAAGATGCTTATGTTACTATAAATTATTTAATAAAGTTTATTTTTCACCAAATAAAACAATGCCCCCTCATAAAAAATAGCATGTGTATGCTTGATGAATTAAATATACATAAATGAAAGAATGGTTGTTTTGTTGCATATAAAAAAATAATTTAAGAGTTTCAATGACATGTAGATTTTATTTTAATATATTTAAGTATCTTTGATTGTTTTGTGGATATAGAATAACAATGTTTAGATAGTTTAAACTTTTTTACATAATAATCTATTACTTTTATATTGATATAAATATTTTAAATTTTTTTACACAATAATTTATTAATTTTATATTGATAAAAATATTTATAATACTCTCTTTGATTCTATTTATAAAAAAAATTATTTTTTAGATTAATTGAATAATTAATGTATTTGATTTAATATTAGGTCAAATACATTGATTGTTGAATGAATCTAAATATTAAATCATTTCTTACAAATTAGATCAAAGAGAGTAGTATATATATCCTGCCCCCACTGCTCAAGATTTCTGAATCCGTCTCTGAACATTGTGTTGCCTCCTACATAGTCCTTGCAAATATATCAGAACAATTATAAATGTAAAGTGAGTAACATAAGAAAAGGTAAAAGAGAATGTCTAGTTAAGGCAGCTCAGTTGATAGCTACGTTAGGACATTCGACTGTAAAGATGCATATTCAAATCCGCAATATTACATATATTCTACTTTAAATGGTGAAGTTTCGGCCTTGAGACTACTTATAAAAAAGAGAAATAAAAAAAATAAACTAAAAAATTAATATAAAGTACAATTAAACAAAAATGTGATAAAAAAACCGTGAGAACATGTACAAATGCAATATAAAAAGTGACACTTAACAATTTGAGTGACATGAAAAAAGTAAGATTATTTAATAAAAATAGAATGAGGCTTCAATCAAATAGTTTGAAATTCAGATTTAATATATTATAAATAAACCGTAAAGGTCTAGTAAATTGTGACAATGTATTTAATTCTTAAACCCTTGTTATTTTGTCCTTTCCGCCTATTTGTATCATCAAAGAAAAATGTATCGCAAACTCAAATTTTTATAATATGCTAACTTAGATTTTTATAATGTACTAACTCAAATTTGAAAACAAATTAAATTTTGTCATGATATATGCTATGGTGAAAATTTCCAAGTACCAACCATAAATTTCAAACTATCATAAAATAGAAATAATGTAAATTCCAATTTTTGTTAGCTAGTGCTTTTAAGATGCAATAAATTAGTATCTACGGATCGACATACTAAGATACAAGAACCTAGAATATGGTCCCAAATAGAACAAACTAGCTAGCTATGAAATAACAATCATTTTGCATGACCAATACAATCTTTATAAACTACACTAAGTAAAATGATTTAGACAACAACATATGAATTCCAACATGTGTAGTTCAATTTTGTTTCTTGAATTGGACAGGAAAGGACTTTTGTGTACTCAAAGTTTTGTGTCTCTTGTTGACCTTAGAAACAGCAACTATGTTTCACTTCTAAGAAAGTGATGATATCTTCATACAACAGGTACCAATCTTAGACCATCTATCTTCATCAATTTACCTGTTATGTTCATATGTATAAGTGAAGTTTTTTTATTTTATTTTCAATTTTTTTACATTCTAGAAGGCCAAATTACATGAAATCAATGATCATTTAGGATGGGTGCAAATCAAAACAAGGTTTGTAATGAAATTAATGAAAATCAACTTCTGGATGTGATTAGATTAATTTATCTTTTATAAATTAGACTGTTTAAACCATCAATTTAAACTGAAGTTAAAATAATGATACGATTATATTCAATTTATAAATCGAACTTGTGTTTTTCCAAACATTTTTAGAATCGAATCAAATAACATATAAATTAAATTGAATATAAAACTGAATCGAAGCTGAAAATAAATAAAAAATACTAAAAATAAATTTAAAAAACTTTATCAAAAAAATTCAAAATAAAATATAACAATTCGATTATTTAATAAACAGTTCAATTATTAAAAATTATCTTCTGATAACTTGGCACGGTTTGAAATTCATATATCAAAATAATAATTTTAATTTAGTTCAATTTTTAAAAGATTAAAATGATTTACTTCAATTTTAATTCGATTTTGACATAAACAAACCCTATTTATAAAATATTTAAAAAGGAATTTAGAAGAGGCTAATTTGTAAAATAAATATTGGCTAATTCATTCTTGTTTAGTATCCCCTAGACAGAATTGGTGACAAAAATATTATTTTTACAAAAAACATGGTAATGATAAGACAGAACTTCTTCCACCTAACACCATTTATTTATAACAGGGACAAATCAGCAATAATACTGAATCTAGTCAAAAAGAACTTTTTCTAATTGCTAATTAACCCTTTATAATGTCTTTTTCTCCAAAACAACCCTTTAAAAAGGGTTTCAACAACCTTATTTTCAAATATATGTTTAGACTTGTGTCCCAGCAAATATAATATTTTTTCTTTTAACTTCAACAAACTTTTTTTTTCTTTTTAGTCCTTATAAATATACAATATACAAAATTTCATCTGATTTTTTATTTTATTTTAATCATTGTAAAATTTATTCATATTTAAATTTATTCTTAAAATATATAGAATTTTTTGAATTGGTCTTTAAAATAAAAACTAAAATAAATATACAAAGACCAATTTTAATTTAAGCAGTTTTTTGTAGTGACTATGACAAAACACCAGCAACCAAAAACATAAAATAATACATTTATAAGGACTAAAAACTAAATTACTTTTACATGCGGTAAAACAAAAAAAGGTATATATTTTATAGAGACAAAAACATATTAAAATCTTAAACAAAGCAAAGGTTCCTGTGTTTTCACTCCAAGTACTACGTCCTCAACCACACCCCACAGACAGAGATACTGTCATTTTCCATATACAAGTTAATTTCATGTCACACTCGAAACTCCAAACTCTATATGCTAAAAAGCTTCATCTTGAGGCAAAGCCAAGCATAGAGATACACCAAACAAACCTTAAGGCAATTAATAACACAAAACTTGAACCAAACAACATCTCCTCCTTCTTAGTCCAATGTCTCTTTCTCTTTAACAACCCTTTAGTTCACCTCAAAAAAAATATTATATTTTTTAAAACATCTCAAACACCATTTTGACATGCCTGACCCAAATGCTAAGCAAGGTTAGGTGAGAGATAGCAACCTTCCATGACATATATCAAAACCTTCCTTTTACAGCATAACCTGACATAGTTTCTTGCAGTTTTTATTCCTTCCTCTCTTGTTGATCATACAGTGAATGTGTTGTGTGAGATGAAATAAGGAAGAGGAACAACTCAAGAACCTGTTTTTCATTTCTTGTTGATTTCTCCTGTCTCATTTGTTTTGTGTGTTTTTGGATTTGAACATCAAAAAATGCAGCTGCATATATCTCCCAGTTTGAGGCATGTTACAGTGCTACCAGGGAAAGGACTTAAGGAGTTTATCAAAGTGAAAGTTGCGTCGAGGCGTCTTTCTTATAGGATGCTTTTCTATGCGCTTTTGTTCTTCACTTTTCTTCTGAGGTTTGTGTTTGTTTTAACAGCTGTGGATGGCATTGATGGCGAAAACAAGTGCTCAACCATAGGTAAGCTTTTCCGTTTCTCTCTCTATCTCTTTCATCCACACACTTAGTTAGGCTGTCTGTAGTTACAATATCACGCATTCATTGAAGTTAGAAAGTCAAAATTCTTAACTCCTAGAGGTTGGTTTGTTGGTGAATGCTCGAATTCCTCTAGGTGCTAACAATACAATATCACGCATTCATTGAAGTTAGAAAGTCAAAATTCTTAACTCCTAGAGGTTGGTTTGTTGGTGAATGCTCGAATTCCTCTAGGTGCTAACAATCCTCTGTTGGACCAGTCGATGCAGGACTTTTGTCCCCTGGATTATTCGGTCCTAGGGCCAGATAATGAGTTTTAAAAAAAAGTCAGAAACCTTGAATGAGTACTAGACGAAAGTGAAAACTGAATCTGTAATAAAAGACATATCAAACAAAAACAAATATCTGATCAAAGTTTGTTTATATTATCACTTTTGTCAGAACTGTACGGTTGATTAACTTCAAACTATATTTTCAGGTTGTCTAGGAAAAAAATTAGGGCCAAGGATTTTGGGTAGACGACCTGAATCAAGTGTAATCTCTCAACTCTTCTGATAGGCTGAAAATTATCGCTATTTTATTCGATTTTTCAATTACTTTACTTTGATTTTTTATTGGTGGCTGAAAATGACATGGCCTTTTCATAGGTCCCAGAAGTGATATACCAAACATTAGATGAACCTCTTGGCAATGATGAACTAAAGGGAAGGGTTGATATTCCACAGACTTTAGAAGAGTTCATGATTAATATGAAGGAAGGTCGATATGATGCCAAGACATTTGCAGTTAAACTTAGAGAAATGGTACTAATTTCATCTTCTTTTCAACTAGAGGAAATTAAATAATTCTAGTGAATTTCATACCTTCTTTTTCTTCATGTTGAAGTCTTCAATAATGAAAAATGAAACATTTATTAGGTAACCCTTATGGAACAAAGGACTAGGTTGGCCAAAATCCAAGAATATCTATATCGCCACGTAGCATCGAGCAGTATACCGAAACAACTTCATTGCCTTGACTTGAGGTTGGCGCATGAGCACACAAACAACGCGGCTGCGCGCCTTCAGCTGCCTTCTGCAGAACTAGTTCCTGCCCTTGTTGACAATTCGTACTACCACTTTGTCTTGGCCTCAGATAATGTGCTTGCCGCTTCGGTCGTTGCAACGTCACTTGTTCGCAATTGTTTACGACCTAAGAAGGTTGTTATACACATTATTACGGACAGAAAGACTTATTATCCAATGCAGGCTTGGTTCTCATTGCATCCTTTATTACCTGCTGTGATTGAGGTCAAGGCCTTGCACCATTTTGATTGGTTTACAAAGGGAAAGGTTCCTGTTTTAGAAGCAATGGAGAAAGATCAAAAGGTGCGGTCGCAGTTTCGAGGAGGTTCATCAGCTATAGTTGCAAATACCTCTGAGAAACCAAATGTTATCGCATCAAAATTGCAAGCACTCAGTCCTAAGTACAATTCAGTCATGAACCACATCCGGATACATCTACCCGAGGTAAAAGGGACAGCTAGCATAGCAAGTAAATCATTTATGTTTTTGATAGCTTATAACCAAGTAAATTTTTTGTTCCTGTGATGCTTATAGCAATAACACTTTTTCATAACAGTTGTATCCAAGTCTTAACAAGGTGGTCTTCCTCGACGACGACATTGTGGTACAAACTGATCTTACACCTCTGTGGGATATTGACATGAATGGAAACGTCAATGGAGCAGTGGAAACATGTCATGGAGAAGACAAGTTTGTGATGTCAAAGAGATTGAAAAGCTATTTGAACTTTTCTCACCCTCTAATATCCAAAAATTTCAGTCCCGACGAATGTGCTTGGGCATATGGCATGAACATTTTTGATTTGGAGGCTTGGAGGAAGACCAATATAAGCAATACATATCATTATTGGGTTGAGCAAGTATGTCTACCTTACACATTCACACCGTCAGTGCATCGTTGGCCGTTGGATTATGATAGAACAATCCAGATTTCAAGCTCAGTATTTTAGAGTTGAAAAAGAAAAACAGCTTGCTTTCTGTACCGTTCAATCTCAATCCAACGGTCTGACAGCGTAAATGCATGAATTTGTGACAGCAAGAAATCCAAATATACTTGCAATATTTCATTATAATTATATTTCCATATTCGATAAACTATTCATATTTTTCTTTTGCTTAATGCAGAATATTAAATCAGACCTGAGTTTGTGGCAGCTAGGAACATTACCTCCTGGATTGATAGCATTTCACGGTCATGTCCACATTATAGATCCTTTCTGGCACATGCTGGGATTAGGATATCAGGAAAACACAAATGTTGCCGATGTTGAGAATGCTGGTGTCATCCATTTCAATGGCAGGGCAAAGCCATGGCTAGACATAGCTTTTCCACAACTAAGGTCATTGTGGACAAAATATGTCGATTTCTCAGATAAGTTCATTAAAAGCTGTCACATTAGAGCATGATAGGGAAAAAGCATGACTTCTCAATGATGAGTTGAAGAACTGGTGTTTGTAATCCAAGGGAAAGAGAAAGTGAGATAGTTCTTCTTCCACTCATTAGACCTTCCATGACAACAGAGACAACAAAGATATGGCATGATGTTCCTTTTCTTGCTTAAAATTTTTACTTATAACATACTTTTTTCTGCTGAAATCCTCATTTTTTTTCTCTTTAATCCATATTGTAAGTATATATTGAGTATTTGTAGATCATATATGTATGTATTAATACAACACAGCTTTTTTGACCTGCGGCCTCGAGGTTTAACAATTAGCTTATACAAAATGATGAAATAAAAGAGAGAGACCAAAGGATCATTTTATCGAATATCTTTTTATCGAAGTAGTTCTTATCACTATATGTAAAATATCAACAACAAAAAAATGTAGAATATCAAGAACTTAAGGCATAGTCCTAGAAAGTAATTTGATTTCTCATTCAAAATTGGTGAGAACAACTGCATACAATTGTCATAAACTCATAGCATTGCTCTACATTCACTGTGACATATTCACAAACATGTTATATCCATAATTCAGTTGAATCAAATACCTTGAAGATCAATTCTTCAATGGAATCAGTTCCATTTACTTTTTCCCTGTCATATTAGACACCAATCCCTTGAAGAACTTCGCAGACTTTGTTATCGGTGAATTGATAGCCATCAGATTATACAAAACACTCTCAACTTGACCAATGGTTGGCCTAACCTTGAATGAAGAAACCACCTTCATTTCTTCACCTTCTTCAACAAGAACATTCCATCTCTCTCCACTCACAACCCCGTCTTTCACGCACTTAAAAATCACACCTTTTCTTTTGCTCAATAATCCTCTTACCTCCAATCCCATAAAAGAATAAACTACTTCAAAAGAATTCACAAAACCACTTAGATCACCAAAGTTACTCTCTTCCTCAAATACCCATTTTGGATTCATCATAACCACTGGCTTTGGACAAACCCCATCACTCACCATTTTCACCACTGACAATTGAGAACTCTCTGGCACCAAAAATATCACCACATCAGCAGAATTCAACGTTGTGGGGCCAGTTTTGGCAACTGAAACAATGTCAATGTGTTCAACTTGGTTGCTTGAATGAGACTCAAAGGCAAGAACTGCAGCTTCTTTTAAGCTAGGATTAGGCCAAAGGATTAAGATCTTAATGGGAGAATCTTTTCTTTTGATGGGTATGTCAATGTCCCCAAAAATATCAAGAGCAAGTTTGGAAAGCGAATCCCGGGAGTCGTCGATGACCGGGATTTCAACCCGGAATTTGGGTTGTTTCAGTTTCTTGATTTTGCCTAATAGTTTGGGGTTGTTGAGGGGTTTCTTTAAGGCTGTTGAAAGGGATGTTTTGGCTTGAAGTATGGCATCTTCCTTTGAGATGGGTGGGTTAAGGGAAGAGAGTGAGGAGTGGATAATGGATGTGGATGTAGCTTTGAGGGGAACATTAGGATTTTGAGGGATGCATGATATGTGGTAGTGTTTGCATAGATAATGAGTATGAAATGGGAATGATGTAAATTTGTTATTGGAATATGCAGTTATGCATGGTGATGGCTTGGAAAATTTGGTAGATTGTGAATGAGTTGAGTGATGGTAGAATGATGATGCCATTTATTTTAAGGTAATAAACAGAAGAGGAGCAAGGGGTGTGTGTGTGATAGTTTTGATGTGAAACAGTTGTTCTAAAGTTCAATCAGGATAAGATATCACAGCCTCACAATTGTTCAACCAATGGTAGAGGATAATATTTAAAAAGTAGAGTATTTCAATATCCTCTTACAAATTTATAAAACTCAAATTCGATGCGCATCCTACAATATCTAATAAAATTTAGTAACATAACATAACACTTGATAATAATATAAAATTCAATCAAAATATCAATATATAAATTAGCCAACAACAGTTATAATGTATCAAAATATCAATATATAAATTAGTAATCAACGGTTGATGACGAAGTAAGCTTAACTGCTAACAAATAAATTAATGGTTAAAAATACTTCCTTCATTATCCTCTAAATGAACTGCTCACTTTGAATAAATAACATCTATGGTTATAATGAAGAAACTTTCATTAGCCTAATTTAGTCATTATGTTTTAACCATGTATAAAATACATCAACTTTTCGCATACTATTGAGTAAAAAAACACATAATATTTTTGTTTATTCTTAAGAGCCGTTTTGGTGAGAAAAATAAATAAAAAATATAGATGCTTTGATCCTAGATGCTCACTAAGGCCACAATAAACCTCAATTTAAAGTCTTAACATGAGTACTCACCTATTGCACCGACATTACTGAAAAGAGGTGTATTGCACCGACACCACTGAAAAGAAGTGTGTACGTGTCTGTGTCAATCCCTTTGACATTGTTTACGTTTAATTTTTTTTATTTTAATTATAACCAGTTTTGTTGTATCAATGTCAAGATCGTGTTCGGAATGTCCATGCTTCATAGGTTCTCACAAAACACCTACTATCGAGATCTTCTTCTCGCTTAGAGTAAGAGTTTAACTCACTCTTGTCACGAATATAAGGCAACTCATTACCAACTAGACCAACCTTTATTGGCCCATGTTAATAGCATTTGGACCCCAAAAACCGGCTATAAGTATTAATGACGAGAGAAGACAACAAGACATGCTTATAAGATTTACATGCAAATACCAGCATTACTTCATAATAGTATTAGACCTCACAATAGCAAATACCAGTTAGAATACATAGCAAATAACTAAAAGGAAAGGGCGTATGGGGAAGTAATACAACTTTTAGGCCATAAATGGAATCCCAAAAAATTGTACAGTGCCAACTTAGGCAACTGGTGGACGGAGCACATGATCCTGCGAGGTATCCACGGAGGCTGGTGGCATGAATTGCCACATGGCAACTCCTGGATAACTCATGAAAGGCATTAGCTTGTTGCTATGGGCTTGGCCTTGTGGAGCAAATGCAGCAGGGATTGCAGGAGGGTGTGTCAAGAAACTGGGTTGGGCATTAATTGATTTCACCTGCTGCTCCAGCTTCTCTTTCTCAGCCTTAAGCCTCTGCTTCTCATCACGGAGTTCATTCTTCTCAACCTGCACATTAGACAGAGTTCAATATTTTGCGTTATAAAAGGTCTATCTGATATTTTAGTCACTTATACGACAGAAAACTACGGTTAAAGCATAAAAATCAAGGGAAATAAAATTATCTAGAATGTGGACCTTCCATCGTCTAAAGAAAGTTATTTTATATAAAGTGAGGCCTCACCTTTAACTCTTTAATCTTTTCTTGAAGACTTGAATTGGAGTCTTTCAACTTCTGGGCTTCACCACGTAACTGTGACACCATTCGGACAGCATCAGTCAGAATTGCTGCCTTGTCTGTTTTTGGTGGCCTTCCAGGCTCCAAGATAGAGCCTAATTCAACAAACCTATCCATGTCAATCATATCAGATACATACCTCATATGCACATCTACAAAGAAAACCACCAGGTAAAGAATGAAATGAGGCAAGGTGGTGGGGATTAAAATTTTTACTTATCGTTCAGCCTATCCCTCCGCAGCTTCTCTCGACATGCCTTAGAGCTGGAAGGAGCAGACGAATCTGATCTACCTCTGAAACAAGAAAAAAAAACAAGATATATGGGACAACTTTTTTATAATAATAATAAGTATCTGGATTGGATCCACTCATCTTTAAGAGCAATCAAGATTTTAAACAGAGACAGAAGATTAGGGTACTGGGGACAAAATGCAGAGAAAATACTTAGGCAAGATAGATAACATACATGCAATAAGGTTTGTCAGGGAAATTTTTTTATCGATGCCGCTGAATGAATGTTGTGACCGCTTATTATCTTCACTTTAAAACCATGTTAAATTGCCAATTTGACTCAATTATTTCAACTCAAACCTGTAAGTTACTTGATGCTAAGTGGATGGCTACACTACACATGTAGATTATGCATTGTTTTTATTAATATTAACTTCCTTTTTTCGACAGGAATAATAACTAACTTGTTTAATGAGAAATGAAAAGTAAACAAAATAGTGTACCTCTTCTTTGAACCAGGATCTTTGATACCATCAGAATCTCCCAGAGAACCATCCATATCAACACTAGGAGCAGATAGTAACATATACAGAAAAACAGCTTAGTAAATAAACAGCATAACTTTTACTTATTCTCAAACCTAAAACCTAAAATCGAAGGTAATGAAACTGAACGCATGGTATTAAATTGCAAACCACAACTGTAAACATCAAAGCATTTTAAGTATCTACAACTCCGCCGCAAACCGAAATTATATTCAGATTGCATCAGTTGCAATTGTTCACAGTGTTCCAAACACTAAGGATGCATATAGTAATCAAATGCACCAACATATGCAGAACATAAGTTTCATCAAGAACATCATTATTAAGCAATTCAGAAGTTGAAGTGGTGAAACTTGTACTACTACAAATTGATAACAACCACAAGTACGCAAAGCATCAGAAATACAAGAACACCAATGAAAAGCACAAAAATCTGTAAGAATCAGAATTTCACAATTTCAAATATTTCACAATAAAATCAGGAACTTTTTGCAAACACAAACTTAAAAAATTAAAATTTCACAAAAGCAAAACAGTTAGGTACAAATTTGAAGGAAGGGGGCAATAAACCCTAATTGGGGAATGATGGGATTACCCACCAGACATTGAGAGGTTGTGATGGTGGCCACGTGAAGGCGAAGGAGCCATCGGAGACGGGAATATCGTCAATCAAAGCATAATCGAAAAGCCAATTGGTGTTTTCCGGGGAAACCATAGTTCGGAGAGATTTTCCCGGCGGTGATTATTTTGTTTTTAATTTTTTAAATAAGTGATTATTGTTTTATTTTGTGAGACAGAGAGAGAGTGATGATTGAAGAAACGCTCTGTTGAAAAATGAAAAGCACGTTTAGGGGTTGATAAAAAAAGTGATTTTTTTAAATGATTTCTTTTTATGGTAATAAATAAATTGGGGAATGGAATCTAATGCTTATGCGTGTGAGAGTGAGTGATGTGATGAGATACGAAGAAAATGGAAATTTTTGTATATAAATAAGTGGAAGTGCTCTTTAGATTCTTTTTCAAGTAAACGATACCCGGGCTTGTGCTTCACCGTTACAAATCACATCAATAAAAGATCAAGATTTATCTCAAAAAATAGATGTACATGCGATAGTGAATTAAGACTATGTCTATAGTATGTAGATAATTAGAGTTTTGCTTAGTCACACAACACAAAATCTAGCTTGAGTATGTGCCTTTAGAGTTGTGTTTTGTAAGTGTAGTTGAAATAACTAAATGTTGAGATAGGTGGTAACACATATCTAATTTGAATATATTTCATGATATTTGGAAGGACAGATGCATGTTAATGTTTTTATGGGATGATTTCAATGTGGTTTTGTTGATTGCGTCATTACTTTACATTGATGTTTGTGCGTCACATCTTTACTATGTTAAAATCTTGTAGTTAGGTATGTTTCTTTCTTTTAAGATGATCTTTCTTAATACATAATTAATGATATATTTAAATTTGGTGTATTCGCTACTATTAATATATAAATTCCCTTTGACTTTTAACTATTTGAATAGATAATGTGTTTGTGAAGCATTGAAATAATACAAATTCTAATATGAAATTTTTTCTAAGATGAGATGTCGTATCTCAAGGACCTCAAAACTTGCAGCTTAGGTGTGAGGTGGAAGTATAAGAGCCTTTATGAGTTATCAGATCATTGTTTTAATGCCCTAGTAATCCACCTTTGACACTTCATTTAGGTAATATGTAATAGTGAATTTCATATTGTATATGGAGTATTGGATTTATTGGTTGTGCTTTAAGCTATTTGATTCAATGATCTTTACTAAAATATTTTTAATTGTTGATAATTTGTTTCTATTTTCTATCAACGAATTCTTCACATTTCATTTTTACAATTCTTATTATGTTTTCATGGTTGCATCCACACTTGTTTTCAAACATCTAAGTCTTTTTTTGGTTTGTGATTCGCCTTCGTTTTTCACTTTAGTATTCTTTCATATTTTTTAGTATGTTTCATTTATGTTTTTTTCGTTTCTATTATGTTTAGTAATATGATTAATTAGAACATTGTTCAAATCAATGAATCTAAACAAACCCATATCGATAAAAATGCTTTGATTGAATCTTTTTTCCATTGGATTTTATGTACAAAAGTATGATGTTGGTCTAGGAACTAGTATTTTTTGTCTATAAAACCAATAAGAAATCGTACGAGAATGGTATTAAGGAAATGTATTATACATGATTGTTGATGCTTTAATAATTAAATAATAGGTCTTGATGTATGCTAAGGTCGTGTTTCCATTCATAACTACCCGTGATTTTATTTATTGACTTTGGTTGAATTGTCAATATAGATTGTTGATAAATTAGAATCTAGTGGATGCATAATCTTGACTATAAAGTATGCTAATATTTGAGATTTAGTTGTTTTTATTAGCTTGAAAACAATTTGGAACTCATAGATCTCTAATGACTAAGTGATCATTCTTCCTAACAACTCGGATTTTTGTAGATTCTTTATGATATGAAAGTTGATTTTAAATAATATGAAATGTGAATGAAATTAATCTCAATCTCAGAATTAATACCACTAAAGCAAATGTTAGCTTATGTGATTTTTACAATTGCACATCCCCTCCTTGAAACACTTTGTTAGTAAAGTACACATGATATAATGTCTTTTTCCCCCACTAATGATTATTTAATGGCATATTTTGTCGATGTTAAATAAAGAGTTAATTTAACACATGATGAAGGTATGGTTACGACCATTGATGACAAAAAGAACTTATTTAATTTGTTGAACACCTAATCGCATTATGAGGTTCACTAAAAACACCTTGGTTGGTTAAAGTCTTAATAGAATGAAAATGATTAAGTTCATAATCTCTTAGAATCAATACAAAGATGTTATACATCTTTTCAATTATGAGTCATTGAGGAGTTTGCTCAAGAGAGACTTTGAGAAGCTTGATTCAGAGACGTTGAGATGTTTCTTGATATGGTTAATATCGTTGAAAACTCATTTTAAATTTCTTTGCTACAAAAGGAATTATATATTGCATTTGTGTTGTCTTCTACAGATTTTTGCTTAAGTCTTCACGTGATTAGAAGAAGAAAAAATATCCTTAGAGTTTGATAGTGACTTATTAGAATATCCTCGATCCTTACGTTGATTGAATCTTCAGATTCTAAATCTCCAGAGTCTGATTTTTCGAACACTTATGTCATCCAAAGTTTGAGTCTCTAGAGTCTGGTCTTCAGCGTCTAACTTTTAGAATATAGATCTATAACTTCTCTTTAAATGTCCATTCTCAATACTAGTACTAGGTTTTCTTTAGAAATTTTAGTTTATGGTCTTGCACACCTGAACATTTGTTAGTATATATTATTATTCTTTAAATACTTTTTTATCATCAAAATCTTGGAGATATGATACAAACCAATTTTGTTCCAATAATATCTACACACATGTCTATGTTTAGTAGTGGATGAAGATCATTGGGACATGTTTTGTTTATATCAGTGTAATATGTACACATTTCTATTTTTTTTGTTCTTCATGACCACGTAGAATATGTCATCTTTTGATGAAGCTTGATTTTGCATGTTTTTCGATCTCTTTCCAAACTACACTCATTTTCTCTCCATCGAGTTTCGTCTTTACTTGTACAACATATCATAAATTATAATCAATGACTAATCAATTATAAATTACTTTTGGATCAATTATTGGTATGTCAGGTGGACTCTATGCAAATAGGTTTGAGTTACTTCACAATGTTTTAACAAAAGTAAATTCTTCAACGTTGTTTAACTGTGTTTTGATTTTTGTCACCTTTCCCAAACCTTTTTATCTTAACTTTCCTTTTTTTCCCACTGGCTGCATGTTTTGCTCATTATTTTCTTTAGGGTTCAAATTTATGAACTTGTATTTTTCTCTATATTCTTTCAATCAAATAGGTTTCCCGTTTTAATCAAGACCCGTTCAATTCTTCTTTAGGTTATTTATGTAGCAATATCTAATTACTTATTGATATGCATACATCATGACAAGTTTCTTGTTCTCCACAAGGAAACATTATTTCCAAGTGGAGTGTCACATAATAGCTTAAAATACATTGAATAATGGTCTCCCAATGATGAGTTGACCCTAATGTGTCTTCAAACACTAATTATAAATTTGTAGTATACTGGAATTTCATTATAATAATGAAGGGGTAAGAGACTCTAATGGATCCATATTTCTGGGGAGTCATAACCCTATTGATATTTGTTATTTGTTGATTTCAACTATGAAAGGAAGTTGTGTCATATACTCATTTTGTCTCTTTGTTCTTGATGCTTTTCAAGCAGATGCTTCACCCCTAACTCTAAATTAGGGGTATCGTTGTAGTCGTCATTATCCAAGGGATGTTGTCTTGTCGGTTTTATTCTTCTCGATTAGCACAAACTTCTTTGCAAGTATTTTGATATTGGTTTTCATCTTGTTCATAATATTCTTTTGTGTCAACATATCCATGTTGTCGAAGTAGTGATGTGTGACAATGTTTTAAAGAATATAGAAGAATATTTTTGTAACACAAATACAAATTGTCTCATTTACCACATTTACTATTTCACTAAATGTATGTTGTCGACCACTTATTTCACATAGGGGTGGACAGAATTTAAAAAACCAGCCCAAACCGACCGACCCATTAGGCCCGTTTGGACACGGTTCGGTTTGGCCGGTTTATTCGGATTAGCGGGTTATATATTAGTGGTTTTATCTGGGTTCAAGTGGGCGGTTTCGGATGTTAGGTCTGAGCCCATCAGAAACCGAATCCGACCGGTCCAGCACTAGTGGATTGGATTTAAATCAATAGACGGTACCTACCAAATACCAATGGCTGAAAACAAAAACACAACAACATATATACTACTTTTATATTAGAAGTTTCTTTCTAGGGTTTGGTTTCACTGTCTTCGTACTTGAGCTCTAGCCACCGCACCACCACACCACCATGTAAGTTTGTTTCACTCCTTCATCCTTATTATTTTTCTGCTTCTCTTTTTCGCTATGTCTCTCCACCACCACTAATATGAAATTTCCTTTTTCTTCTTCCCCTAATATTGAATTTGAATCCCAACCCTAATGAAAATTCCTTATGTTTTCTCATTTTTTGATTCAATAGAAAATTCTTTATATGTTAATGATGTAGTTGTTATTCTTTTTCAGATCCTGATTGCTTTAGCAAGCTTGTTTGTTGGGCTTACAAACTTTGCAGGTTTGCAGTATTCATTGCATTTATTTATCTCAATATAAGTTTCATCTTGAACTCAGATCCTGATTGTTGTGAACTGATTCTTTTCTTTAGGTGCCCTTTGTGCTTTATACTTAATCGATAGGGAAGGGAGGCAAAAACTTATTATAGGAACCTACTTAGGAATGGTGAGTGCGTACAAGATGCCCGTAGCTTGTTTCTCGGTATATGCTGAATTTGTTTAGATCTTATTCCTTAGTAACTCTGATTTTCATTTCTACTTCTTTGTTTAATTTGATTGATTATTTCAGGTTTTTATAGATCGGCGTCTGGTTTTATGAACTTGTTGGGATCACTAAAAATTGTGGGCAAGTACTATCCAGGACGGCTATGCAAGGCGTTTGTGATTGAAGAAGGTAGTTCTCCTGGAGTTGAAGAAGATAGTTTGCAAGGAGTGAATCAAGGTATGCTTGAGTGCTTTTTAAG